CGTAAACTTTGTTATTTTTTATTAAATCGTTTCGCTTGATAAGACCCTTATTCGTTGTCTGGAATCGTTTAAAGCCCTTTGAACAGTTTGGTTCCCACTGAAGTGCATCATATGGAGAAAATGCTGGAATGTTTTCATCAAAAACCTTAATTTCTTTTCGACTGAAGAAAGAAAGACATGGACAGCTTGGATGACAAGGGGGTGAGTAAATTATCAGCAAATGTTTTTTTTTTCAAAAGTGAACTACACCTTTAAGGAACTAATGTGCATATTTTAGGGTTAGATTGTCTCTTTACAGGGATACTTCACTTTTTTTGGAAATAGGCTCATTTTACCACTCCCCCAGAGTTAAACAGATGGGTTTTACCGTTTTCAAATCCATTCAGCCGATTTTCTGATATTTAGAAGAATATCAGTAACCAGACAGTTTCTGGTCTTATTGACTTCCATAGTAGGAAAAAAATATACTATGGAAGTCAATGAGACCAGAAACTGTCTGGTTACCGATATTCTTCTAAATATCAAAAAATCGTCTGAATACATTCAAAAACTGTAAAACCCAACTGTTTAACTCTGGGGGAGTGGTAAAATGAGCCTATTTCCAAAAAAGTGGAGTATCCCTTTAAGGGTACTGCCCCAGTGACAAGCTATTGTGCCTATGAAGGTACAATTTTTTAGTACACAACGGTGTAATATGTCCAGGAATCTATTCACCTCACACACGTGCATACCAACAGAACTCTCATCTAATTCAATACATAGGACACAATGTGCATAGCCTGGCAAAGATACAGCCAGTGTTTACATGGACTAGACATCGAACTGGTCAAAAAGATGTGTTTATCATTGAAAAAAAGTACGAAAAAAAAAAAACCTGACACACTTCAGCTTTGACAAAAGCTTGTCAAAAAAATGTAACTACCCTTCATGTATTTCTCTCATTCAATACCAGTCATTCACCTCTTCCAAGTTATTCCCTCCTCATTATTGTGGCTGGTGGCCCATCACAGGACGACCCGTTCGCATCGGTCTCATCAGAGCTACAAAGCACTTTTCAAAGATCCATAGGTCCGCTCGGCTCTATGTGATTGTGCGAGTATGTTTGTGTGTGTGTGCGTGCAGAGACTGCAGATGGTCGTTCTCTTTGAAGACACTGCAGCTGAAAGAGCCTCTGAGGTCCACTCCACTATAGAAGAGGGACTGACGCAAAAATAAGGGCAAGCACAAACCTGAACCTCGCTTTCACCGTACGTATGCCACGGATCCAGTTCCAATACATCTAAAATGGTTTGATTAGGCAAACCCTTGGTGTATATATCTCCTTTTCATGGTAAGAACTGAGTTATCTTCACTCAGTGTTGCACCAGGCACTCGGTGTAATTCAGGATTTGTCTTGCGTTTCAGGGCTGCGTGACATATGGGTGTCTGGTAAACAGTATAGCCCATCTGCTCGGAGTAGATCCATAAAGAAAAACGGCCGTGTGATTTAATACTGTTCCATTCTCACTCGATATTGAAGGATACGTTAAACACAGAGAAACTAAACTCTTCATCAAAGGTCTGTCTGGTACCCGCAAGCCGATTGGAGGAGGGAGAGTGGGCGTAACCTTAATGTGCTTTTGTAATGTCCCAGCTGACCTCGACTATTCAGGATAGGCTTAAAACATGGAGGCGGAGGTCTCCTGAGAACCAAGCCAACAATAAATGTGTTATGGGGCATCCGATTGCAGCGTTGCCAGTGAATGGATGGTTGATCATAATTATGGGGAAGCAGGAGAAATGACCAGTGTGAAAGGAGATGGGCGGCATGCATCAGCGAGAGCCTGTGAAAGCCGCGTGCGCACCCACTCATTCATACCGCTTTACTTAGCGCTGCCACGCTGCCAAAAATGGCATTTCCCTTCCCATCTCACAATCAACGGCTAACTAGTCAGAAATGTTTCATCTGCCAAATTATATCTCTTTAATCGTTCGCATACACATCCTGTTGGAGAAGGTCTGCACTTAAAAAATGAAAGGGACGAGATTCTGTAAACGCGAAGGGCTGGTCGAAATCAAGCGTGTTTCACACGAGCAGATGGAGGTTCCAGCACAGATGACTCTCAATGGGTGAGAGCTGTACGGGCTCCAAATGCCATTGAGCCACCTAGTACATAGCCATAATGCACTACGGAAAAAACATTAGTATAGGCTGGAGGTGGGCCTGATAAACACAGGGGGGGAGGAAGTGAGAGAATAAATGTGAGAGTAACATCTTAATAAGTAGGTTTAACACTTTCTGTTATACCAGTTTATTGTGGAGAAAGTAAATAGTTATTTGTAGGTTGACTATCTCCAAAGAGTGTTCATAGAGCCTCTTATATGTTTATTTGAGTGGTGCAACGTGTCAACTTCTGCCTCAAACACAAGATTTTTTTGTACTTCATAGCACCTATGCAACGTTTGGGCGTTAAAAATGCAAATTGTTGAGAAAAGCTGATCCTTCAGAAATCATTTTAATATTCTGACAGTATTATTGATATCAGTAATGAAAATCATTTTGCTGTTTAATATTTTTGTGGAAATTATGAGACATTTTTTCCAGAATTCTTTGATAAACAGACATTTTTAATTTTGTTTCTAATATTTTTAAAGTCTTTAATGTCACTTTTGATCAATTGAATGCATCCATGCCGAGTTCCTGATCAAGGATGTTGAATAGCTGTGAGGGTTAGCTTACATTAAACACTACATGGCAAGAGTGAAGAGCCTTAACCACACACAGACACACACATCTATTTTTGTGAGGGCATTCATTGACACAATGCAGTCTCTAGCTCCACCCTAACCTTGCCCATCACAACTAAGTACCTAACCTGAACCCTTAAGGCCATTGCACACTGAGTCCGAAATTCGCATCCGAAATTTTCGCACGTTAAAAAAAAAGAATTCGACCTCACGTTATGTCAATCACGCTTGCACACCACCTCTGAAACCTTCGTCCGTCAAAAAAAAAAAAAACCCAAATTCGGATAGGGTTCGATTTTCTGCATTTTTCGCATCCACAGCCAGCATTTTGAAAGGTTTTTTCACTATTCGGGGCTGGGGGAGCTCGTTCCGCACATCATTGCACATGCGCCTTTAGTTTCAGTTTTCAATTCGATCAAGTGTTTATATGTTCAATCGGATTAGAAAATGAATAAACCTCCCATTTCAATCAGAACGGAATTTCGGATCAATTAAGGTGTGATTGAGCAATTCGATAACTAATGTATTATTTGGGTGCAATATATAACCTGTAGCCTATACAGCTGTTCCGTCTGTCCAGCGCTTCCGCCGGGCCGCACGTGTGTGTGTGTGTGTCCATACATTAAACATACTGACAGTCTCTGTTCAGAATCGATTGGACCTCGTCCATGAGTGTTAACTCAAACGTAAACGCGAAAGGTGAAGCTTGAATTAACGGGTATGTCCCTCTTTGGCTAATGTACTTTCAAGATGGAGGGGCAACATGGCGACCGACATTAGAACCCCTTACCCGTATGTATTTCCAATGGCATATTATACACTCACGAGAACACTTTATTACATGAATGAAGTAAATATACTGTACATTAATGAGCACATATATTTTTTTTAAAAAACACTAAGTGTTTTTAGCTAAGAATAAACTAAAAGAGTTACACAGTGTAGCTTTAAATACCCTAAACCTCCCCTTAACCTTATAACCGTATCGCTAAAACTAAGTCTTGACAAACAGGCCTTTAAAAGGGTCTCAGAATAGCCTGGTCCCACCAGACTCACATACATTTCATTTGTACAAAGAGTCGGGCCTTGCTCCGTTGACAAAGGATAACTTCCTGGTAGGCGGGTACTCGGTTAAAGTTTAAAACTATTCTGGAATCTGCCATAACCAATCGCTGACGTTTGGTCGTGACGTATGACTACTCAAACCACTCAAACTAGCACGACATCAATGCCATCATTCTTAGCCACTCCCTCTGTTCACTGATTGGACCGGTAAAAATTTGACCGGAGAAAAACAAAAAATACACCACAATCCCAGATTAAATTAAAATTGAGCGGAAGTACAAAACATGTTTTGGCTGATTTATAAGCATTTTTTAATTAGTGAGGACCAGTAAAATGTCCTCACTATTCGGTTGTCATAATATTTCACCATATAAGTGAGGAAATTTGGCCCTCAAGTATAGCCAAACCCCTCACACAAACACAAACGCTTTCTACCTGATTTATGGTAGTGTGCACTATATCCAGGCGGCTGCTTTGCTCCATGTCAGACCCAAAGATAAATTAATACCCACACATGGGAGTGAAAGTGCTCATAACATTCATGTCATTCTTAAGCCTTGAATATATGTATGGGGGCGAGATATGGCCACAGACATCTCTGGCCTCCTAAACTGAAGACCACATGCATATAAACACCCACCTATTCGCAAAATAACAAATGAGAGTGATGCAGCCTCTTTGTGAAAAATGGCCAATCAAGAGTGAAATGTACCTTTACATAGCAAAGAACTAGAAATGAACTAACCTGTGATAAATGCATCATTCATCATAAATACTTAATGAACAGCTATTATTTAACATTATGCTTACATCTGCTCATGGGTAAGCACTTTGTCTTAATGGAAGTGGAACAATGAGTGAGCCAACAAAAAGGAAAGATGCCAACAGTAAAGATAGAAAATGATGTCAAATGAGTCACAGGAAGTTTTATATCTCATAAAACAGATATAAACATGACACACAAGGAAACACACACACACAAAGGAGATGTCTTTACAACTAGAATTTACCAGTGTACATTATTTTCTGCTATGTAAAGATCAATGAAACTTAAAGATGTAATTATGGCTCTAATACAGTAATCGTCTTTTGCTCACTTCAGAGAATCCACTACAGCGGGTAAGTTGTTGTCAATGGAGGTTCACAATAGAGGACAGGCAGGAAATTTGCTTGGGAAGTGGAGAAGTAGTCAATAAAGAGTAACTTACCTTTTTGTATCTGGGTACAGGGAGCTACACTCCATCACAACAATTTACAGCATGCAGCCAAGCCATGCAGAGAGAGAAAAGTGTGCATGCAAGATAGAAAAGGTGGAAGAAAGAGCATAAGTTTGGAAAACAGACAACACAAAAAAACATGAAGTAAAAGATAAACAGTGAAAATACATAAAAGAGAGGAATGAGAAAGCACCCAGGAGGTTTGACCCATGTTTTTAAAGTGTAGATATTGTAAATATAGATGTGACTCAATCTGATAGTCAGAACAACCCTAAATTTAGCTGTCATGAAGTGATGGACTGTTCAGAGGCGTTTCACATCAAACAAACAAAAATGTAAGTGCTGTTAGATCAACCCCCAATTTTATCTTCAGAGCATGTCAGAGCAGCATCTTTGTTCTCAATAAATTCTCAGTTGGAATGTTGTACTTGGTGCCCATAATTTTCACGAGAACAGATCACATCATTTAAAACAGGAAAATCAACTGAGAGAGAAAAGTTGGAGGTGGAATATGTCAGTCAAATAAAACTGTACCACTTTTGAATGTGTACTGACTAGCACGCACGAGAGCGAGACCACGGGCCAAACAAATAATGAGAATTAATATCATTTCATTAAAAAAGTAGCATGTTAATTTGCTGCCCGGGGGTTCAATTAAGTATCCATTTATCTAGTTTAATGCTTCATTTCTGTTTAAGGAGTAAACTCTTGACAAATGCACCCAAAGAATCCAGGCATGAAAAAAACGTCTTGTTGAAGATGCGTGCATGTTTGGTGAACAAATATCTGTTAAATATAGTGGGTAAATAATATTTTAATAAATGTAATTTTATCAGTATTTATCTGTATTTTCTATTTTAATGAAACACTTTGCTTGAAAAGTGTGCTTTCTTTTAAAAAAATGTCATTTGGTTTGACATTTTATGTAACGCAATGACATTCATACATATTCACGGTGTATGAATGAGTGAGTGAATGGGTGAATGTGAGGCAAATTTAAAGCGCTTTGGTGACCATTTGGTGACCAGTCTATGAAAGCGCTATATAAAGGCAGTCCATTTACAATTTGCCATTTTACATCCATTCATTTTTAACAAGCGTGCCTTGGAATAGGAATAGTTCGCCCAAAATCTTTAAATCTGCTATCATTTATTCATCCTCATGTCATTCCAAACCTGCATGACTCTTTTTTTCTTTTCTTCATAACTCATAAATAGATATTTTGAAGAATGCTGGTAACCAAACAGTTTTGGTTCCCATTGACTTCCATTCTATTTTTGTCCATATAACGGAAGTCAGTGGAAATCGAAACTGTTTGGTTACAAACATTCTTCAAAATATAAATTTCTGAGTTATGCAGAAAAAAGAAAGTCATGCAGGTTTGGAACCAAACACTTATGGTTCCTATTGACTTGCATTGTATTTTTGTCCACATAATGGAAGTCAATGGGAACCAAAACTGTTTCCAACATTCTTCAAAATATATAAAGAAAGTCAAAGGGTGATAAAAAGGGTGAATAAATCATGACAGAATTGCAATTTTTGGGTGGACTATCTCTTTAAATGTATGAAAGAGACACCCTTTAAATTTGTTTAAAAAAAAATACTAACAACCACAAATCACAGGGTCAAAATGTACATAATGGAATGGCCAGAGTGTGTTCAATGCGTTCTCAGTAATGCGGTGCAGAGGTTGGTGACCTCCTCCCGTTCCAGTGATGAATTGACACAGTCCCCGCTTACATCATAGAGCGAACACTCCTGGTGAGCCTGTGACCCCTGTACATTCAGAGCTAATAAGGATGACCCTTTCGGAGCTGTCAGTTTCACCGAGAGAAAGAGCAGATCACAGACAGGTTACTTTAATTGAGTTGATGGAGGAGGACCCTGGGAAAATGGCGATGGGTGAAGCGTGCCATTGAATTGGGGTCAACCAAAAGAAGGGAGGTTTTCTTTCATTTGAAAAGGCTGCGTCTGGCAACAGTGAACGTTAAGGTCGGAGCAGATGTGTCCTTGCGTGAAACACAACATGGGCAATATGAGCACTGAAATGGATCTTGGAAGGCACCTTTGTGAGGGGTGAATGAGTGAATGGTTACATTTCTCTTTCTCATCACGTTTGTCTGTTCAGAAGGACGAACGGCCTGGCACTTATTATTCTGATAAACGACTTTGGTGGCGACTTGTAGATGATATATATGTCAGTTTATAACGGTTCCGGTTCTCAAATCTGATTGGCTGAGCGGGATTCCAAGGGTGATGATACAAAGTCCAAAAACACTGTTAATATTCAATCCACTTGTCTTGTTCACAACAGTCCAGATCAGAGTATGTGAGTGGTGTGCAGTAAAAGCAGAGCGGGTGCTTATAATTGTGCTTATTAGGAGTATCATGAGTTTAGTAACATGAACTGACACCAAACACTCTAGAGTGAAACTTTTGGGATCTGGAAGTGTAAAAAACACATTTATTTTCTATATAGCAGAATTGATTTTTAATGATAACTTATAAACCCTTAAAGAAAGACGTGCTGTGGCCTACTAAGTTGTTAATTGTTGGTATATGCTTTTGTTGAAGCCATCAGCCCAATTATTTTATGTTTAAACAAATAAACATTACCCGTGATTCTGCAAAGAAATCTCTACCAATCAAAGAATTGCGTCAACAAAATGACGGTAGAAGAGCCTTTAGCTCACGCCTTCTCAAATGAAGCACTGCAATGCGTCTGTCTCCCTACACTCTCCAACTACTTAAATATTTGTATATATTTGCATATTTTTCAATCAACTTACTAATATATTGTTTCTATGTAATAAACATCTGCAAATCAATAGTTTTATATTTCTCCAATTTAAATTCAATTTTCATTTTCAATATTTAGGATTCAAGGACACTTAAAATAAAGTAGGAACATGTGGCAAAACAAAGTCATTTTATTTACAAGCCGTAAATTTGATTCAATCACAAAGTGATGCTAAAGTAATGTAAGCAGGAGTAATCTCCATATAAATACCAGCGGGAAAATTCCTGGTAAGGCAAATGTTTTTTTTTTTTTTTTTTTTGTGATGGTTCGGCTCTGATTACAAATACCCCATTATCTGTATTTCTGGATGTGTAAACCCCTGTAATCCCCTGTGCGTTCTGACGGTGCGTGTCTCTGGATTGGCGCTTATCACGGAATACCAACACATTCACCCCGACACCCCACCTCGCCTCATATCCAACCACCTGCAACACTCATTCCACAAAACATTACTTTTTGTATTGATCTTCTGGTGATATCAGACACGGTCAGGTCATTCTCACCATGTTTGCCACACATGCTACTTACAGTCTGATCCTTTCAAGAACAGACAATAGGAGCCAGATTTAAAACACTGCAGAATCCAGCGCTGTCCGTGGCCCTGAGCTATATTCTGACCTTGCTATTTGAATTAAGTGAACTGAAAGGTTGATGACGGGTTGGAAACTATTGTTTTCAGTATAGCCCAAATCTAATGCCAAACAAGCCCAAATCAAAACACTGTTGTTCACTTTCTATAAAGTACTATGTTTTTTGAAGTGATGACATGACCGTGGTAATCATTCAGTATACCACCTTTCAAAAGTTTAGGGTTGGTAAGATTAACAATTTTTGTTAAAGGGTTAGTTCACCTGAAAATGAAAATTCTGCCAATATTTACTCACCCTCATGTTGTTCCAACCCCGTAAGACCTTCGTTCATCTTCGGAACACAAATTAAGATATTTTTGATGAAATCTGAGAGCTGGATCAGTCCTCCATACTAGTCCATAGGCTTCTTGAGGGATTGAAACTTGCCGGCCTCGAAAAGTTATTAAAGACATCCTTAAAATAGTCCAAGTGACTACAGTGGCTCAATCTTAACTTTATCAAGTGACGAGAACACTTTTTGTACGAAAAAACAAACATAAATAACGACTTTATTTCAACTATTCACTTCCTTCTCTTTACGCCTCTAGTCAGTTAAACTAGTGTAATTGCTTATGATCTATTGTTGTACGTCACACGCATCATACACATGACCAGCGTCGGCCGATAGTGAGCCTATGATTGACGTAGCTCTATGCAATTACACTAGTTTATACTAGTGTTCTCGTCGTTTGATAAAGTTAAGATTGAGCCACTGTAGTCACTTGGACTATTTTAACGATGTCTTGAATAACTTTTCGAGGCCGGCAAGTTTCAATCCCTCAAGAATCCTATGGACTAGTATGGAGGAGTGATCCAGCTCTCAGATTACATCAAAAATATCTTAATTTGTGTTCCGAAGATGAACGAAGGTCTTACGGGGTTGGAACAACATGAGGGAGAGTAAATACTGACAGAATTTTCATTTTTGCGTGAACTATCCCTTTAAAGTCTCTTATGCTCAACCAAGGCTGCCTTTATTTGATCAAAAATATAGTAAATCTAGAAATATTGTGAAATATTATTAAAATTTAAAATAGCTGTTTTCTATTTTAAAATATTTTAAAATATTTTTGATGAATATTTTAATATTTTTCCGCCGCTTCATATTTTTATATAATAGATTTTTTAAGGATTCTTTGATTAATAGGAAGTTCAAAAGAATTTATTTGAAAACATTATACATGTTTTTATTGTCACTTTTGATCAATTAAATGCATCCTTACGAAATAAACGTGTCAAAACAAACAGAAGTGCACTGTAAAAAAAATATTTTCAAGATTTGTTATCACAACATTTTTTCTTTTGTCAAATCAACTTAAAGAATTTATTTAGTTGAGATAACTTATTATTTTGAGTTGCTGATGATTAAATTAATCTCCTTCATTATATTAACTCACTTTTTCCAGTTCAATCAACTTAAAATTAAGGCAACCAGGTTACTTGCTTTTTTAAGTTAAACCAACAATATTTTTTTACAGTGTAGCATATTACATTTGTTCAGGACCACGGACAGCGTTGAGGCAAGTCCTGTTTTTGCACACGTTTTCTACTAATTATAGCGTCTAGTGAATCTCGATCTCGTC